TGTTGAATACAACAAGTGAATAAGAATGACTAGTGGTTACTAGTTGGGACTGTGTTGGTGTGTTGAATACAACAAGTGAATAAGAATGACTAGTGGTTACTAGTTGGGATTGTGTTGGTGTGTTGAATACAACAAGTGAATAAGAATTCTGTTACTTTGCACTCAAAGAAACTTGTTGTTTTTGTATCAGAGGACGAGTTCCTAAGGGCAGTACATGATTGTTCTAAAGAAAGATTACAACAGGACGTCACAATGTATCGTAAGTAGCACTTTCTTTTCTTAATACGACATTTGCATGATGGCATCATTGACCTCTTTACCAGACTCCCTTGCACACTTTCTTTTGTTCAGTTAATTAGCACCAATTGTCTTACTATTCTCATGAGGGAATACAAATTTGAATAAGAAAGAAAAGAAAATTGGCGAAGCATTATGATAGTGATGACGCCATTAAACGTCCTATTGAGAATGATTGAGGGACATTGATATATAGACATTCCGAGGTTCAGTAAAAAACTAGGTCGATTTGGCTTTGCAGTGTATTGTGGGAATGTTTTAGGGGGCGAAATAGACGCCATCTTGAAAATATGTGCCCCTAAACAGTCCCACAATGCACTGCAATGCCAACTTGCCCTGGTTTTTTCTCAAACTCGTAAAGGCTAATTAGCACGAAACGAACCTAAAAATTCCTCCCTTGCTGGCTTCTCACCCTTCTTTCATCCCTTCCCCACCCCCTCTAACCCCCACCCACCCCACCCCTAAGATTGTTGTAGTTATTTTTCCTGCTTGGGCCATGCTGCTTCTTCTATGAAAAAAATCATTTTACAAAAATTCAAGTCATTTTTTTGTTACAAACTTTCATCCATTTTAAAATTAGTTGAAGGACATATCTCCAGATGGCATGGGTTCTTGGCTTAGGTCAAGTACAACGAACTCTAGAGGGTTTAAGCATCTTATTAACGGCAACATTGGCAAATTACAAATGTTTGAATTAGTTGTAAAAATGAATCGCAAACATCTCCTAATAATAGATTTAAAAAAAGAATATTTGTCTTTGTTGTGAAGGTTTACAAGAGTAATACCATGATCACCTCGGATTCTTTTGTCTTCCGAGGGCTTTACAAACCCGACTTTCCCGCATGCATTATAGAACATTCTCTACTTTCACATCCCCATAATGCCTTGCGTCTTTGGGGGGTAACCAATCGAAAAGCTGTCCCAATTTAAAAGGTTTCTTAATTGAATTTATACTATACCTGCTTTTATCTGTACAATACTGATTATCAGTTTATTCCAAGTTATTTTTGCGTGTACAGATCATCAAGAGTTTTGGTCTTACAGAAAATATTTAATTACGAAAATGTTTAAAATTTACCTTAAACGTCTTCAAGCTTCTATCTTTTTCTGTTTTTTACTTCTTCATTTTATTTTTGGATACCAAACAAGGTATTTTCAACATTGTCTGATCAGCCTTCAGCAAAATAAGTGGATATTTACCTTCTGGTTACCCCCCCCCCCCCCCCCAAAGACGCAAAGTATTATGGGGATGTTAAAGTAGAGAATGAGGGAAATTTAGAAGACAAAGAAATCTTTTGTCTTTTACTAAATTTCCCTGTCGCTGCGCCCTCGGGACTTTTACAAATTTTCCCTCGTTATTCGGGGAAATTTATTCACTAATTTCCCTCGTGCCATGGTATTAGTTATAAGTAAACTGAAATGCAGGTAGACAACGAAACGTGGTCATGGAGCCGTTTGCGGAAAGATGAAAAACGCGATACTCAATATGGGTCTAGCTTTGGACCGTTGGAAATTTAACGAAGCAAAAAACCCAGACGGTTGGGGCTGTATTGGTCCGCAATTTAAAAATGAGTAGTCCACCAACAGAGAATAACTTCACACATTAGGATCGCTATTTCCGAGTGTAATTTTTCAATATTTTCAAGCTTATTCATGAGTCTTTTCTTTTTTCTTCAGCTGAGAGCTGCTCTCTCGAGCCATACCGCAATGCAATACGCATCTTCAAAGAGAATATGGTTCTTGAGCTGTTTAAAGAATCTGATGGAACTAAAACCCTACTACGCTTGACTGACAGATACAACAACCAAGAGAGTATCTTTGAGTTCATTTCAAGTATTGGCCAGTTCAAGATGTAATTGACAGCAACACTTCTAATAAGATGATGCGAAGACGCTTCTTCGATGCTAGGAGCCATTTCAGAATTAGAAGGACAAAGAATGAGAGAAAGATAAGGAAAGCACCAACTCTCTTTCTCTCTCTCTCTCCCAATGTTTCTTGAAATAACTTTTTTCCAATATTTCTTGAATGAACTTCTCTCTGATCTTAAACTCAATCTGTATGTTCTATCTATGAATTTGTTCCAATATTTCTTGTTACTAGGGAGTGAGACCAATAAATCGACATATGTTCGAAAACTTTTTATCGAGAAAATTATGTCTCTACGCCGTTTGCACACAGTTGAGAATTGTTCCTCGAGGTATTCCTTATTTATTTCATATTATATTGTACGAGTCGAAAAACTGCTGTTGATTTGAAGAAAAGGTTGAGGAATTTCAAGGCAAGATTTCGATGTTTCTTTTTTTAAAAACCTTCAAATTTTTCAATACTCTGAAACGAGCTTTCGGCTGATGTCAGTGCGCGGCGAACTTTCAGACACAAAAGTACCGTTAACTTCTTTTTGTTCGCCTAGTTCAAATCACCTCACCGGCAAATATTTCTCTGCGGAGAAAAAATTATGCGAAAAAAATCTTAAATGGTCAACTTTTTTTGCCACAGCTTTTTTGTGTGTGTTACTCCAAATGTGCCTTACCCCTCTCTGGTAAGTATGTAATGGTCCAGCTACTGTTCATAGACGCGTATCAAGTTTTGTATTAGCCAGATTTACATTCGATTTACATACATTAATGCATCCCGGGGGTTGATGTGAAGGTACTTCAGCACGATAAACGACCGTTACTCATTAGTAGATGATATACCGATCGGAATAGAATCATCTGTTGTGGCCTGGCAATCGAGACATATACAGGCAGATAAAGCTAGATTAGAAGAGTAACTAGTTTGTCATACTTGGCTTGGCTTCGAAGTGGACAGCATCTTTTACAACAGCTAAAGGTAAGAATTAACTACTACTCTATATGTTGTTTTGAAAGTTTCTTGTTTTGACCTCAAACTTTGCTTAATTCTGCCAACCTTATACCAAGCAACATTCTCTTTATAAACGAATTTTCTCAAAAAGCCTCGGAGCATAAATGTACTAGCGACAAGAAGCCACCAAGAAGATTCATCTGCAGAATTATCTTGTTTGTCGTTGCAAAATGTTTGCTGATTTTAGAAAGAGAAATTCTCATTACCGCCCTCACAGTAATGATAGATATTATGAGACAATTGGATTTATACAAGTCTCTAGCCAATGTCTTTTTTTCAAGCAAGTGTCCGATTGATAACATAACATGTAATAGTAAAAGTGTTCATTTGATTATTTTGGGTTCAAAAGAAAAAACTTAACGATATCATTTTAGCTAGTTGACGTGATATCCGACAAGCGACTTGCTTTTAAATGAGCAATGTACGTGCGAGTACCACGTATTTTGACTTAGTCGTCGAGCTCGGCGTCGCATCGTGTACGAAAAAATCCAGTGCATACAATCAAAGTTTTCCATGGATCAATGAACCGAAAAGTTAATACAGTCAATACGGACGCTTTTACAGCTGCAGTATTATGTAATGATTTCAACTTGATTTCCGTGCGACAACATAAAATTTGATTTCTTGAAATGAATCCCGATGTAAATTTTGCAAGTACTAAGTATTTTATGATAATTGTTTTTTTTAATGACCTCGTGGTGAAAGGAGTGAAGCCATATTACCGTTGATGAATAGATTAACTGATAATCGATTAACGAATTGTGATAACACATTGGTACGCATTTTGTGATTCTATTTTTTTCGTAGCGATTCCTTGAATTGGCATTCAAAGTTTTCATTCCTAATTGAATTCATCTGGCTTGCGTTGGAAGAATGTCTAAGATTCAGTTAAGTGTCTGCTAGCTTAATAGTGGATGACAAGTCTTCTGTTTGGCGTCTATTGCTCGTATATTCGATTCACTAGATAATTTGTTCAAACAGACTCATTCATGCGTTGGTTTTGTTTGCTTTCTTTGCGTGTTTATTGCGAAAAACAAGATATTCCTAGATGTGTGTTGACACAAGAAGTGAATCTAGAAGCAAAAGACGATTACTGGGTGTCATCGTACTTTTTCCCCTATTGACTTGAGTCTGGTACTCACAAGCGACATAAAAGCAAGCATTAAACTCATCGTTAATGATGAGCTTGGCGTTAGGTGCATATTCGGTGGGATGGGCGGAGCCAGGCACAAGTTAGCGGTAACCATGGTCACCCTGTCACCACCCACCGAACACCTGTCACATTGACCGCGATCAGTCAATGGAATACTTACCTCTACTTACCTGTACCAGTGGTAGGGATGGCNCCGCGAAGTAAGAGTAAATAAACATCAGCCCAGAGCGTAGATTATGGCGTGCCGATGACCTGAGCCATCAGGAGATAAGAGCTAAAATGTCACGGCGCGTCGCGCTGTCTCGTTGAGATGAACGAACTGACAGGAGACATGTTAAGTAGCGCTAAATGAAGTGACGTGACGTGTCAACATAGCAGGAACAAATATGCAAACAACGCCTCGGGCCACGAACCGATAGCACGGAACAGAATACATGCCAAGAAACGGCACGCTATGGGAATTTTTAAGACGCACAGTAGTATCAAATATAAGACTCCAGAAAGGCAATTCTGGTCACGGCAGTGTAGCATGATAACTAAGAGCTAATAAACTTGATAGGTACAACATAAACATGAGTTACCCATGACCGATAAACAAAATRATGACTAACAAAGCATGATATAAAAAACTTTTTGAAAGCTAGCGTCTTTTAGTTTTCAATTTATCTGCTGAAAGCTCGGGAGACGGAGTTCGTCGCTTTCGCTCCGTCTCAGTTTTTTCCTTGAAAAATTCCGGGCACTCTACGAGGCGGTGACGACCAGCACACGAAGAGCATTTGTGGGCAAAACGGCACAAGGAGAAGCGCGAGGAACATTGCCCTTTGTTCCATGAACGACAGATGACACCACTGCTGTTTGAACCCCTTGGTTGCTCCTCATCGCCATTGTGGGAAAAGCTAGCACGATGAGCTGGACCAGCCGTGTAGAAGCTATACAACTGCGTGTCGATGTTAGCCCAGTTGGTAAGGCTAGTCGCGGCCGCGTGCTCCCGAAAGGCCTTATCATAATTCAGCCAAGCTTTACCGCCGAACTGCCTGTACGTGCGTATGATGAGCAGCTTATAAAGCGATAGATCCTTCCAGCGGTGGGGGAAGTACTCAGACATAACCAGGGCGTAGCTACTGAATGTCTCAATCCATGTAACTATGTCCTCGATCTTGCGTTTATTACGCTTAGGCCCAGCAGTCAAAACAATATGGCCGTCGAGGAACACTTGTGGCTCGGTTGCCGCCTCGACCAAATTGGACGGGATTAGCTCGCCTAAATTAAGGAACTTCCCGCTAACGATATGCGTGACTAATTTGGCCGGGACCGGAGAAGCACCAGGTCCAATAATAACGGGCTGAAGAACTGCTGGCGTTGCGAAGGTCTTCGACGACGTGAGGGGCCAGATAAAACCGTAGTCGYCGAGCTGGGAGGACCGCCAACAGCTCCTAGCGAACGAGCTTGCGGGATAGGCAAAGTCACTATGCTAGCGGTACTAGTTGTATTTACGCTCGCGAGCGAGAACGTGTTTACAAAGTTTGGTACTAACACATTGGACGTACCTGGTGTGTCCTGGGCTGTTGACTGCAGTGGCAATGCTGGTTGGCTTGTCGTTGCTGCAGGCGATTGCGAGATGGCCGTTTGCTGTGTAGCGGCAAGAACAGCCCTGACTACTTCGTCCACGAGCTCCCGTCGGTATTCCTGTGAGAGTGTCACGGTGGACGTTGATTGCGGAGTGCTGCTGAGCGGATTTCGTTCAGGAACCTCTTCGTTGAGG